CGCACTAGCCATGAGGCCACCGCGCCTGCCACACTTTTTAAGCGTAAACTTGTAAATTTCTCTGCACTGAGCTCCCAAAGGAGCAAAAACAAATAGAATACTCAAACGCTGACGGTTTGAAGGTGCCCAGGGATACCAATAAGACCTGAAAATGGCACTGGGCCTTGAATTTTGAGTACATACCGTCCTACAGACATACCATGCATGATGTTACGATCCAGTTTTTACTTTTTTTTTCAAGAACTATAAATAAACTACTTACCAGTTCGGTTGAACGTTGTGCTGTCTTCCAAACAGTTCTAGAAATTCACAAAAGTAAAAAGTAGAACATTGTCTACTTTACTACTTAACAGTGTTATTTCCGACACGTATTCCAAGTTCCTCGACCAGTCGGTGCTCCAAAAATCGCACGTGATCTACTAGTAAGCGCTTGATTGGCCAAGAAACAGAGAAGCCAAGAGAAGAGAAGAAACAGAGAAGCCAAGCTTTTCTGAACTGAAGCTATGAACCGTTCATACACGCATGCAAGGAAAAACTGCTCTCACCTATTTTCCTTGTGCCTGGTGCAAGCCTTTCAATCACTCCATACATTAGATTTCATCTGGTTTGTTACTCAGTATGTATATAATTTCAGTTAAAATTTTAAAATCAGTAGCAAGCTGTACTAAAATTGTTTGTAGGAGTTTTTTTAAGATTCAAAGGATTTTGCCTCTTTTACTAGAAAATAACGAGAACTCTGTGTGGACCTGATTTTGTTTCTTGGGATTAACAACTAAAGGAAGTGAATACGGCCCGCGTTTTTCGTCTGTTCTGTTGTAATTTCTCTGGTGGGTGTGAAATTCAGTGTGCGCAAAGCGAGATCATAGAGAGAATAAGAGGAAGAAAAAAGCGAGCTTTAAGCTCGTTTCCATCTTTTTCCTCCTGTTCGTTTAGAGTTCCTTAACTACACTAAGATGAGAATTTATGAACACGAACAAACCTCAGCGACTAGAACATCACAGTCCAGACCTCTGTTAAAATTCTCATACCAACCTGAAGAACATGAAGTTTTAAGTCTGATGAACATTTGAACGAGCAGCAACACTAGAATAAGTGGTATAAGACACGAACAAAAGCGTGTTAAAATAAGAGAGCTGAGTGACAGTCTATGTGGAATTTCTACCACTGTTGAAAAGAGATAGTTGGCTTCACCGATTGTAGGTGCTCATTAAACCAATACTTCCAACTTGTTTGTTCTTTCAAGAAAATGGAAAGGGATTAGAGTTTTGAAACAAAACAATGAACTCTGAATCGAAGGGATCACAGGGAAAAAACACATTTTCTAGATCATTCCAATATGACAAGAACTGACGTAAGCCAGAATCATTATCTCACCAGACAATGTTCCTTTCCATGATTAAGCCAGTGCCCAGTCCCGCCCGTCCTATAAGCCGTTGTAACTGGTTTGTTTTAAAACAGATTAACTCATCACACCGAGCGTAAATGTTAAACAAAACTCATCAACAATGTCAGAGAGAACATCTTCGATGAGACATTTTACTGTTTAATGTTTGCAGCTACTCTTCTGTTAAGGAACATTTTTCGGTAACAATGACAACTGTGAAGTACATTGAGCAGCGTTTGGCCAAAACGTTTCCTGACGTGCAGATAGGGACGAGTAAGAATTCTTCACAAAACTTCAACAAGCTTCTGGAATTACTTATGAATGAGCCAGTCGTTTTGACGTTATTGAGGTTAAGGGCAACGTGGCAAAGAGATGTTTTCTTTCTTACAGCATTTACATTAGTATTAACGTGAGCACTAAGTTAAGTTCAGTAGCCGTCAAGAACAACCAGCGGAGAAAACAACATAAGACTATTTAGGCCAAAGAGTTAAAAACTTCTAAATCTTTAGCTCGCTATGCGAGGGGAGAATTTGCCGATATTCGTAACCATAAAAAAAGCAGTTAGAAGTTAAAGTGCACCTAACCCCCAATTTTTTTTTCGCTAAAACGAATCTAGACTTTATTCGAAGTATTTGGGCGGAGAAATTTTTGAATTTGGTTGAATCCTCGATTTTCTATGCCCTTTCAAAGTCGCGCTTGAAG